TTATATTATATGATATAAAATAATATTAATATATATATAATATATATATTATATATATATCTAGATCCACATATATATATACACATGTAGTATATGTATGTGTGTGTGTGTATAAATAAAACGTGTGTGTATAAATAAAACTAAATATTTTAGTATGTTAAATATTAATAAATATTTTAGTATGATAAATATATAAAATATTCATATTATTATAATATGATATTACATACACTACCATTCAAAAGTAAGTAGTAAGTACAATATTTTAAAGAAATTAATACTTTTATTCAGCAAGGCCACATCAAATTGATCAAAAGTTACAGTAAAGACGCTTATAATGTTACAAGAGTATGAATTTCTGTATTCATCAAAGAATAATGACCAAAATGCATTATGGTTTCCCCTAAAATATGAAGCAGAAAATATTATGCTATTTAATATTTTAAAGCATGATGATAAGAATTGTTTCTTAAGAATAAGAAATGTTGGTAACACTTTACAATAAGGTTCTTTTTGTAACAACACTTCTACATAATTTATTAATCTTAGCTAATGTTAATTTCAACATTTACTAATGCATTATTAAAATCAAAAGTTGTGCTAACTAACATTAGTTAATGCACTGTGAATTAACATGAACTAACAATGAACGACTGTATTTCCATTAACTAACATTAACAAAGATTAATAAATACTGTAATAAATGTATTGTTCATTGTTTGTTCATGTTAGTCAATACATTAACTAACATTAACTAATGGAACCTTATTGTAAAGTGTAACCGAATTATAGGATAGGATATTAGAATGATTTCTAAAGGATCATGTGACACTAAAAACTGACTGCTGAATAAACTGGAAAATAAAAACATTATTTCTCATCAGAATTGCAGCCTATTTGCACGCTGAAAATGGTCACGTCATCACCATTATTTTTTCATAGGTTACATATATAATAATAAAACCATTAAAACCAATAAAACCACTGAATTCTACCTAAATGTTGCATTTATTGAACTGAGACAAATATATATCTTTTTATTTATTTATTTTTGTCTATTTGATCACTTTAAAGGAAATGAAATACACATGGTTAAAACTAATGTTTCCCTTACAGTGTGTCTTTGTCAATATATTATTATTATTATCATTATTCTTCATGTTTACACATGCTGTCCTCGTCATGCTGAATAACTCAACTCTGGAGAAGTTCATCACACTCAAAAAAATAAAAAATAAAAAATAAAAAGCAAAAACAAACTGACAATGAGCAAGAGACAGAGTTAAACAGGTAGAAAGGGACGTTTTCTCCACATTTAGACAAACACACCTGACTCAACTTCTCTTGACAATGGCTAAGGATCAGTCTGTACAGTTCCAGGATGTCGGCCTGTGGGTTGGGTGGTGTGCCGCCTGGCTCGGTGCCCACAGAGAGGGTGTAGGTGTTCAGAGAGGGGTGGTGCTGCACCACACGACTGCCCGAGGAGGAGAGCTGTCTGAGCGTCTCAACGCCAATGTCTGTATCCAAACCCTCCCTAAACCAAAACAAGCCATCCGATGAACAGGATATGCTCAAACTGTTCCATTCCAGCTTTAAACAAAATAACACCCTGCTGTCATCAAGACACTCAATGTACTGTAATTAAAGTTCTTATGGATGTACTGCTTTGTTTTATGTTCAAGAGGCAGTGGAGAATGATCCAAATGTACAAATGGAATTATCATGCAGCTCAATGTATATTTTCTACTCTTTTGCCAACTCGGGAGTGTTAATAATAAGAGGTAATGGTTCAAATCTGGGCCTAGAGCATTGACTAATACTGGGTGGAGTGATTTTTGTCACAGGAAAGCAACTGTCACTGCTGTCTGAAGCAACATGCAGCAGAAGAAAGAATAATACACAATTAGATCGCTTTAATGTCTGAGCAATGAGATTAAATAGAGAGCTAATGGAGACTTCCTGATTCTCAGATGTTTCTTGTGTGGACAAAAAGCACTAATAATGTTTCTCAATTAGATTTTAAGATGATTTTAGATGTCTCGAACAATACAATGGTGGCCAAAATGATTAGAACGCTAGTATTTTGACCAGCTAAAAATGGTTTAAAGTCAGTTATTTCTATCTTTTGCTGTAGTGTGTCAGTACGAAATATCAGTTTACATTTCCAAACATTCATTTTGCCATTAATTGTAATAATCCAGTGAGATTTTTGTTTGCACAAAAGCCAGTGCTCCACACAGAGATCTGATCTGATCATCATCCAGTCTGTCTGGAATGACATGAAGAAACAGAACAAACTGATACAGACTAAATAAATCCAGGAGAGCTGTGGCAGCATCTCCAAGATGCTTCACGAGACCTGTGTTGATGTGAATAAGAGTGTGTATGAAAGTGCATCACTCACCGGCTGAAGAGCTCCAGCAGAGCCGTATGTCCTCGACTCTGGGCGATGACCACCGGTGTGGAGCCCTGTTTATTACACAGGCTGAGGGTCTCTCGGGCCCCTGGCTGCTTGAGGAGAAACCTGGCCACTTTGAGGAGCCCGCGGCGGGCTGCGAAGTGAAGGAGGGTCTCTTGAGGCTCCAGTCCTGAAAGAGAGAAATGAGTGTTCAAAGAGGCAAATGGAGCGATGTAAACTAGGCCTAAATCATTGCCTGTCCGGACTGACTGATAATCCAGAAATTTACAAGTACTTTTGTATTTTTATATATTTTAGACATCTGTGTTGCTTAATATTTTTGTGGAAACTGTTCATCTTTTTTTCAAGATTTCAGGATGATCAACAGAAAGTTCAAAACAACATTGTTTATTTGAAATAGAAATCTTTTGTAACATTATAAATGACTTTACTGTCATTATTGATCAATTTATTGCATCATTGCTGAACAAAAGTATTAATTAAAAAACAAAAAAATAAACTTACTGACCCAACACTTTTTTACGGGTACAGAATATGTGTATGAATTTTTTTTTCAATATGTCCTTGTATTGGGACATTGCATTGCATAACAAAATATCACACCAGGTTATATTCGTTTTAAAGAAAAAGAGCACAAGCACAATTTTCAAACATAATAATTCACCACACAAGTCTGTTAGACAAGGGCAAAGTATTATGATTCAGCAAAGAAGAACCAGCCCAAAAATAATGTCAATTAATTAAATATTTAAAAAGATTTGCCACCTGTAATTAACGTCACACTGTAACTGACCTGTCAACCGTCACGTGACCATTATGAACTCAAAAGAACTGCTCTGATTACTTGGAAGCTGATCTGCAATGTCATTTAGGGACGTTTATTTGGCTGCAGATACGAGCTCTGGAATATCATCCAGTACATTCTCTTCTAAACTAATGATACCCAAAAAAAGAATGAAAAAAAAATTAGAAAAAACAGTCACAGGCCAAGAATAACTGGAGATAGTTACACAAAAATATTATTAGCGCTCCAAAATCTAGCAGCTCATATTTTTACATTACAATACATAAGATATTAAATTAAATGTGGCTGTAAATTGTTTTTTTTTAATTAATTTTGTAAAGAATGTTAGAAATAAATAAATCAAGCATGATCCTGATGACCTACACTAATGCTATAACGCCCCCTAAAGGATCAACCACAGCATAACTACAGTTTAGAAAATCCTCCAGTTTGATAGTATATAAAGTCCTATTGAACAATGCAAAGAGATATGAAACATCTCACCATTGTGTCAAACAGACAACTTAATAAAGTAGATGTACTTAACTTCTGAAATCAAATGGACCACATTAAAGAACAACTACAGAATGATGCAACAGACGATTACTTGAACCTACAACCCTATTCGAACCCACAACCTTTTGATTTCCAGCCCAGATCTAAGCGCTAGCCTCCACCGAGCTGCACTCACGTGTGCTATTCCCCAGCAGGCTCCAGCCAGGGGGTAGCATTATATGTTTGAGGGCCAGGGACAGACTCTGGTCCAGCTTTTCGCACTCCTGCAGAGGGATCTGATGTTCGTCCAGTAGCAGAGCCTCCTCCAGCAGATTCGTCGGCCCCACCGCGCTCACCAGGAACCGAGCCATGTCGAAGGCCAGGTCCTGCACGAAGTGTAGGTGCTCGGTAGCCAGAGTATGAATGTTACCGTCCGGTCCCGCTGAGCACAGGGTGACCAGCACCGACTCACAGCAGTTATGAGCTGCACAGAGAGGAAAAGATCATGACAGCAGTCAAACACATTCAATAGACCAATTTCAGTGTTTGCAAACAGTGATGACATTTTTGCCGTTGTCAGATATTTAAGCCATTTAGCTGAGCTGTGCTTTGCAATAAAATAAAATAAAAAAAATATTCAATTAAAAATAAACAATACACCAATTAATAATTTATTTAAAATAAAATATAAAATTAAATTACAAATAAAACAACCTAAATAAAAAATGGCTAATTAAATAATTTTAAAATAAAATTAGGCTATTGTAGTAAAATAAAATTATAAGGTTATTGTAGTACTACTGTCAGTATAGGCATAGAATTCATGTCTGGCATCATCATTTATTTACTGTCAACTTTTTTTTTTTTTACACAATTTATTGTTTAAATAAAAGTATTTAGTCAGCTAGAGTTGCAATATCTCATTCCTGGCAGATACAAAAACAACAAGTCCTTATTGCAATTGTACCTCATCTCCAAGCTATAACTGTACATATAAAAGTGACAGTCAGGTCTCACCACACAAAGTTACACATTGACACCCTACTGGGGAAAAAAATGGACCAACCCATATTTACATGTAAAAGCATTTATAAGAATCCCAAATGTCCTCCTAGTGGTCTGGACTTCCGTTGTTTGTATCCCACTCTCTAAAACAGTTCCTCAATTAACATTCATTCCAACTGACATACATTTACTTAATGCTTAAAATGTAAATAACTCTATGCAAAATTACTACATTTTTTTTAGTGCACATGACTTTTTTACTTATCAGCTACATGACAAAACAGTAAACAGGAAAAATATGATGCAACTTCTATTTCCAGAAGAAATATTTTGGCAATGTCCCATTAACACACTTTACAGCAGAGAAATGCAAGAACGGGATAGCAGTTTTTGAAATATGTGACATTATGGAGTTACACCAAATACACAAAATAATGTTCTTTTTAGCAGCATCATATGACCCCTTTAAGAAATAATGTAGACCCAATTTCATCCAAAAAGTGATTAAATACTGCAATGTTACTGGTTATTGTAATTTGTCCCTGTAATTTTTTGATGACAAGAATTTTATTTTATTTTTTGTAATAATGTCACTGACATCCAAGATGTTGATGAATTTGTTTCTTCATTGGAACAGATTTGGAGAAATGTATCATTCCATCACTTGCTCACCAATGGATCCTCTGCAGTGAAAAGGTGCCGTCAGACTGAGATGTCACTGACATCCAAGATGTTGATGAATTTGTTTCTTCATTGGAACAGATTTGGAGAAATGTATCATTCCATCACTTGCTCACCAATGCATCCTCTGCAGTGAAAAGGTGCCGTCAGAATGAGAGTCCAAACAGCTGATAAAACATCACAATAATCCCAACACGACTCCAGTCCATCAATTAACATCTTGTGAAGTGAAAAGCTGCACGTTTGTAAGAAACAAATCCATCACCCATTATTTTTAACCATTGCTTCTGGATATAATACGAGTCCTCTTTCCATAATATTGCTGCAAAACAAGCAAAATGAGTCAAAAATGGTCCTAACCAAATATGTTGGAGCAAGCGTTATGGATTATGGACTGTTATTACTGCCGTGTAGCTTTTCAATTCACAAGATGTTAATTAATGGAGTCGTGTGGGGATTATTGTGATGTTTTTATCAGCAGTTTTGACTCTTATTCTGACGGCACCCATTCACTGCAGAGGATCCATTGGTGAGCAAGTGATGTAATGCTACATTTCTGATGAAGAAACAAACTCATCTACATCTTGGATGGACTGAGATTTTTGCGTAACTTGTCAGTGAACTACGGCTATGTGTAGTAAATGCTGCTCCATCTGAAAGCACGAGATGATGATTTCCTGCTGATTACAGAACCGGCTTTTTTAACAAAATGCGCATGACAATCGCATTCGATTAATCGTGCAGCCCTAGCTGAGAGTGAGTAAAATTGCAGAAAATTTTCATTTTTAGGTGAACTACTCCTGGTATAATTAAGTAAAAGGTCAATTTTCACGCTGACTTCAATGCAAAAGCCATATATAAACACAAAAACTAGTTTCACAAGTGCCAAACACGGTCTCTCTCTCCCTATAATCTCCCTCCATCAGCGGATCATCCCCTTCACTGACTGCTGAGGCATTACACCTGACACTGAACATAATGACTGAAACACAAGTCTTACGCATTACTGCGTTCCACATCATTCATTCATGCTGACTGAACATCTCCATAGAGAGCGGGTTCGCTTCAGTGACCAAACAGCCCTAAATAAACACTCATATCACTCAAACAATAAGATAAGAAAAGACTTATGCATATAGATATGCCTAAAAATATGCCACAGAAATAGCAGATCAATTTCTCAATTGAACTCTCGCTATGGGACTGAGCTACACCGGTTCATTCGGACTCAATCCACCTGAGTCCTTAATAGGATCATCAAGCAAACAGGTTTTGTTGACAGAAACAAGTGCTGCCATCTCTGTTTGGCAAAAGACAAACACTGTCCGCAGTGAGGACTTGCATGAGGGTTAATTCATATAACATGATCTTTGATAGGAACTAGGGCTGCACGATAAATCGCATGCGATATTTAACGCGCATCTTGTCAGTAAAGCCGGTTCTTTAATCTTCAATCTTTCACATGGAGCAGCATTAACTACACAGAGCCGTTGTTCACTGACAAGCTGCGCAAAACCACGATCATATTTTGCGCAGCTTGTCGGTGAACAACGGCTCTGTGTAGTTAATGCTGCTCCATGTGAAAGATTGAAGATTAAAGAACCGGCTTTACTGACAAGATGCGCGTTAAATATCGCATGCGATTTATCGTGCAGCCCTAATAGGAACCTATAGCTTAAAACACAGATTATGTATATGTACATGAGCTAAGTGAGTAAACTGTACAGAGTGCTCATTTTTCTCTGTCAAAAGTAATTTCTTAAAAAGAGGACAGAGGGCAGCATGTTCACCCAATTCACCTTCCCCCAACTGAGTAAACAAAAAAAAAGTGAAAAAGTCCCTAAATACACAGTCAGAAGAACATGGACAGTTAAACATTCATCACTAGAACTCACAGTGAACAACCACATTCCTCAACTTCAATATTTGGCAATAAGTTAATGTGAAATTTAATTTCTTAATCCATCTGAAATGTGGTGTGTGCCATTTTTCAATGCTAAAATACTTTATCTTGTCCCTGTCCATGCAGAGAAAACGAAGTAATTTATAGCTTGATTTTTTTGTAAAGTGTTTTTACAATATTGACCCACCAGCTTTTGACTTAAAAGCATGTCCTGAGATTTCAAGTTCAATAATTCAACAACACATTTGCATTTCAATGTCGTTTGACATGCAGAGAAATAATTAAATATGATATCTTTTTTTTTACCCCTGCAGTTCCCTCATGAACCCCAATTCGATAAACTCTGTTTTAGGAGATGCGTGTACCAAAAATGTCCTTTTTTAACAGAAAAAAGGTTGAGAGGTCATGGTTGGGAAGCGTCACAGATCTAAGGGCCCAGTAATGCGCTCACCTGGACACACAGCCTGAAGGGTGGCATGGTTGACCTTTAGTGTGCTGGTAAGATGTCTCTGAGCAGAGCCAGTGAACAACAGGAAGAACTGCACCTCCCCTTGTTCTCCTTCATCACAGAGCTGAACTGTTAGCACACACTCGCCCTGAGAAGAGAGAATTGCGTTTCTGAATAAGAATTGAATATATTATTGGGCAAAAGCACAAACAAAATGCCAAACTGATCCAAGCTTCCACCTGTTCCAAGACCTTTTCATTGAATGACATGTTCATATTCTGCATTTTCAGCAAACTTGACCATTAATCCACAGTTTGAAAAAAACTAATGAATAATTTCTACATGATTTATTAGACAGAGGCACTTGATGAATGTGAAAGGTTTGCAAAAAGTATACTTTCCTTGCTTTTAAATGGAACCTTTCATATATTTTTAACCCAAGAACTCGGGAGTCAAACACAATGAGAAATAACTGAAGTTGTGGTTACAACAGGATAACACACTCGTGTTGGTCTGCACAGATTGTCACAGATAGCAGTGAGAATTTTACAGCACACACCCGATGTTCTACATGAGAAGCTCCCCTCCTCCTGTCACACTTTCACAAATTAACATCTATATAAATAATATTAAAAACAACATGTTCACAGTTTTGCTCAGTGGCCAATGGAACCACCACTGCAAAAGCCATTATGAATTTTTACTGTGACTTATAAATATAAATTGTAAGACATGCATTCTTACAAATAAAGGTTCTAATTAGAATCAAAATGTATTTCCTATTTAAATAGGACAATTGCGCTGGAAAATATCAAATGAAATTATGAGAAAAAAATATATATTTATTAATTAAAATTTTTTCTATTTCTAAAACTTCTATTCATTAAATTCACCAAAGAAAAAGGTATTTATAAAGTAACAAAAGGTTTCCATTTCAAATAAATGCTGTTCTTTTAAAAATTGTATTTGTCAACAAATGCTGAAAATGGATCACAGTTTCCACAAAAACATTAAGCAGTAGCTCAGCGATTTTCAACCCTGATAATAATATAATAAATGTTTCTTGCGCAGAAAACCATCATATTAGAACGGTTTCTAAGACTGGAGTTATGATGCTGAAAATTCAGCTTTGCATCACATTAATAAATTCCATCTTAAGATATATTTAAATGGAAAACAGTTATTTTAAATTGTAATAATATTTCATAATATTACTGTTTTTACTGTATTTTTGATCACATAAATACAGCCCTGGTGAGCATAAGAGACTTCTTTCAAAAACATCAAGTGCTATTGGGATTTAATGGTGACTTTGAAGAAATACTGTAAAAAGCACCACTGTAACAGTTTTTCATGGTTAAAGAATGCAGAAACGAATGTGCCGATCCTAAGAGCTTTTTAAACTTCTAAGAACATAAATCTCCAAAGAACCATGACATAATCAGCTCAAGAAACCGAAAAAGTAGAATTGATAAGTAGAATGTTCTTTGCTGAACTTAAAGTGCTAGAAAGAACCATTAAAAACCTTTGGTTAATGGCAAAGTCCTTTGCGTTACAGCAACAGAAAGGATATTTGAGTTTCGATGGAGGCTGTATATGGTACGATTGACAATCAGATAAAATGTAAGAAATCTGAGCTGCATACTGACTCCTGAAATTATTTCAGGAGAGGAAAGACGTCTGTGGGAATAAAGACACAATAAGGGGTGTCACACATACATCTGTGCTCAAAACCGTCCTCTATCACTATCACCATTGTATCCATTCATCTCAGTCCTTTGGATAATCTAATATCGTTTCAGCAGTTAATTACAGACATTAACACAAAGATAAGTGTCTTTGAACCCTCGTCGGATTTCATAGCAGTGGAGGGAAAATCCCTTCTCTTTGTTGACTGTACGCCGTACGTCAGATGGGCTTCTTGTGATAGTAACCCAATACCGGTCATACATCCTTCCCGCTGCTCGACTCACTTTCTGTTCTTGTAAGGCGCTGACAGTCATATTCCCCTTCAGGATCTAGATTAGCCGTATTCCCTAGGAAGCATTCAATCGGGGCTCACCGTTATCCTGAATGAGAATTGTATTGATGTTTCAAGATCGACTGAAAGGACTGCAGACTTTGAGCAGACTGGCGACGAAGCCAAATTGTTTTTAACTGGGTTCTGCTTATATTATTGCAGAAAATGTACGTGTTAGAATACTTTCTTCTATTTCAGCTTTATGTGCAGAGACAACTATAAGCGAGACATCTGTTAATTGATCTGTTTGCTCTATTTGTTTGAGCATCTTGATTTCTTACATTTTATCTGTCAGTCGTACCATAGGACATCCTTGTGGTCTATGGGGGGGTCAGAGAGCTCTCAGATTTCATAAAAAATATCTTAATGTGTGTTCCGAAGATGAACGTAGGTCTTACGGGTTTGGAACAACATGAGGGTGAGTAATTAATGACAGAATTTTTGGGTGAACTAACCCTTTAAACACACATGATTCTGTCTAGTTAAAAAAAAAATGCATCTCCATCCATAAAAGATTTGACTGAGCAAATAAAGAGGAATGCAAAATAAGCATAGAGGATACTTACATATAATGGGGCTTGACAAGGACTAAGTTTCATGACTCTGGACACTGAAAAGATAAAAAAAATAAATAAAAATTATGTCAATGCAAATCAGATCAACCAGAATACTGATGCTGCTTTCAGCCCAATTATAAAAGGTTTATAACTCGATAAGTTTGAGCATGAAAATAGCCTCAGCAACTGTGGAACCAATTCAAATTAGCACCTCTACTGACAATATAACTGCTGTTTGATAAACGGCCTAAAAGATATTCATGCGTGTGACTCACACCTTCAGTCTCAGTGAGTGCAAGACACGCTAAAATACACTGCTAACTCACAGGCCTGTTAATAGCAGAAAAGTGATGCATTTAAATGTTTAAGGGAAGAATAAGTTCATGGGTGAATCTCACGAAACATGACAAAATTGTCATATTTTACTCCAAAAATCAAAAGAAAGAGACAGGACATTATATTAGGAAAATTTTGAATTACAAAAACATCCTGATGCATTACGTTAATCATAAGTTGGTATGGAAGTGTGCTTAATTTACATGAAAATAATGTTACAATAAATGAAAAGAAATCTTGGTATTTTACCCAGCACTGGGTTGTATTTAACCCAGCATTTTTTAGAGTGTAGGCTTAATTTTCTCCATGCAGAATATCTTTTAGTTTTTGGACATTTTTAAGCAGCTTCAATTTCTTTAATTATCAAACAGTCTTACATGCAATCCATCGGCCATTCATTCTTTCATTGGTTAAAACAGTGCTGCTATATTGAAGGTGAAAGGTGAAAGGATAAAGAGACAGCTAATAATACCCATCCTAATCCTATTCCCCTGCACTCAGTTTGATCTACCTTCCCTCTTCACACAATCTTCACATTTTACCTTTAATATCTGATTTTGCAATGCAAATTACTTTGTTTTCAACATACTTCTCTTGTTTTCGAAGAGAAAACATATCAGCACTTTACTTGAGAGGCGTAACTGTGTAAGATAAGTTGTTTTCAGAAAATACACCTTTACCAAATTTGCGCATTTATTTATTTTTTTGTAAGCATAAATCTAACAAATTTTTGTAAAGTTTATCCTAAAAACAAGGGAAAAAAATTGCCAATGCATAAGAAATTTCATTTAAGAACACATTAGTTTTGCTTCTAAACTAAATGCATCTTGCTTTAAGTCCAAATAGATAAGTAGACATTTTACTTAAAAACAAGACAATGGGTCTCATTAACCATTCATATTTACTAAAATATTATAATCATATTAACTGGAACATTAAAACAAGCATTTTCTATAGCTGCTTTGAAACAATATGCATTGTTAAAAACACTATAGAAATAAACTTGAATTGAATGCAAATGAATATGCACACATTTGCATGCAAAATCTGGGTGAGTATTTTTCACACACAATTTAAGATTTATCCATAACTTGCATACTAGAGTACATTCTAAATCCAGAAAAAAAAAAAAAAAGAAAAAAAAAAAAGAAAAGAAATAAAAAAACTGTGGGACAAACATGGATACTTCATCTTAAAATATATTTTATCCTATATCTAGTGTGTATGAGTGTGCTGTGCATGATCAAATACACCATTCTTATCCATACAGAATGAGAGCGAAACACCTGGCTGAACCTGAATGCAGTAATGACCAGTGAAACTGCCTTTAAGTTGTCTAACATTTCAATTCAATTCACCTGCTGTAAGATGATATATACATAATCTTATACTATAAATACTTGGCGATGCATGAGTTCATCTACATCAAAGGAGAAACATGGCTTCCCACCTTGAGGTGTGCCTTAATTCCTTTCATAATGTTCTATTGCACAAAGAGCAATGACATGCAGCAACAATTTAAAAGGGGAAGTTGTATCATCACACACAGGCACTGAAACACTGCTGATGTGACAAGAGCAAAGATCAAATATAGATTTCCTCCCAGCTGAAATGGTTAAGGAAACCTCTTTCTCTGACACCTGCATATTCATAATGAACAATACTGACTTCATAAGGACGGAAGGAAATAAGCAGACCTGGAGACAAACTTGAGTTTTATCCTACAGCATGGGCATTATATACACTGACTGAGGCAAAGCTGGCATTAATTAATTATTAATTATTTTCAACATTGATAATAATGAGAAATGTTTCTTTAGTAGCAAATCAGCATATTAGAATGATTTCTAAATGATCATGAGACACTGAAGACTGGAGTAATGGTGATAAATTCAGCTTTGCATCACAGGAATAAATTACATTTTAAAATAAATGAAAATAGAAAATAATTAAAATTGTAATTACATTATTTCAAAATTTATTGCAAAAGGATAGGAGTTAAATCTCAAGTTTGAGCACTAGAGAATTACTGAAAAACCTACCAGCTTGTTTGACCCTCAAGCAAGGCATGATGATCCATGAGGACCCTGCAATTAATGTCTTTAAGGCCTTTTCGAATTACATGCATCTGCAAAATGACAAATTATAATAATTCGATCTGACCTAATAATCAGGGCAGCTTATCTGAATTAGGAGATAATTATTATGTGTCAAGTCTCTGAATGGAGGCCTAAGAGGATTATGAGGGCTTTGGGTTTAGGTAAACCTCAGTGATCAGCATAGTGCAATTTCCTATGGACTTTTGTGCGGCAAAATACAGCACAGTCAATGTTTTAAACAGGCAATAACATGTGCTAGCCTTGGTAGAGTAGAAATAATCAGCGCTGCTTTAGTGCCTCAGGTGTGAAGATTTAATAAACGGAAGTCTAAAATGTTGCTGAAGTAGCAGCTGCTATTGTTTTGGTTTTCAATCTTTTTTGCCCCCAAGTGATAACAAACTCTATATTAAAATGTATTTCCATATCAAATACGCCTGTCTTTTTTAAACAAAGCAGAGTAATTATGCACACACTATGAGTAATTTCATACAAAAGACCACAATATACATGTATAGGAGTCTAAATCAAATTCTAGATAGTAAGATAGTTGAATATGAATGATTATAAACTCTAGTGGTTTCTGATATAAGATATATGATATGATATGATATATGATATGAGATATGATATGAAACAATATGACAGTTGTTCTCAGTGAGTGGGCGGCAACCCAAAAATGAGCCTCGAGTTTGATCTGACAACAGGAAAAACAATGCAAAATTCATATAATGAAACAGAGCAATAAAGAGATTCTGCTATAACACTATGTGCTACTATAGCATGTTATACACATTGCAGGTTTAATAAAGTGGGGGGGGGGACTAATCAAACAATGAAGTATGTTGTATTAATAATGACGCATTTAAATTATTTTTTAACCAAACCAAATTTAAAGTTTTCATTTAGTCGAAAAACAAAGGCAAAACTTAAAATAAAGTTAAAAATGTAATTAAAATTTAGGTAAGTGGGTAATTAAACTATTTATTGTTGAGGGTGCTGTGTTATTAAAGGAAAAAATCATCCATAAAATGAAAATTTGCTGAAAATATACTCTCTCTCAGGCTATCCAAGATGTAAATGAGTTTGTTTTTCATCAGAGCAAATTTTGAGAAATTTAGCATTGCATCACTTGCTCACCAGTGGATCCTCTGCAGTGAATGGGTGCCGTCAGAATGAGAGTCCAAACGGCTGATAAAAACATCACAATCCACACGACTCCAGTCCATCTACTGACATCTTGTGAAGTGAAAAGCTGTGTGTTTGTTAGAAACAAATCCTTTATAAAGGTGTTTTAAGCATCCATAACATTTCTTCAAGTGGAAAAAAGTCCACCCCTTGTTGTCCTCTCATCCACAGCTGTATTTGTTTCAAACTGTTTTGGAATGTTGATTTGCTTGTAGATGGTGCATATTTCTCTCCTGATTTTGAAAAGACTACTTTTTCACTGGAGAAAGCAATTTTATAGATAGACTTGTGGATGGATGCAATGGTTTAAAGTTAAAAACATCTTAATGATGTAATTGTTTCTTACAAGCATGCAGCTTTTGGCTCCACAAGACGTCTTGTGGATTATTGTGATGTTTTTATCAGCTGTTTGAACTCTCATTTTGACGGCACCCATTCACTGTAGAGGATCCACTGGTGAGCAAGTGATATAATGCTAAATATCACCAAATCTGTTTAAATGAAGAAACAAATTCTTCTAAGTTGGCCATACCACCCACTCCTAGTATGAATAGCCAAATAAACAGGTTTAGAATATGGGTAGGGCAGTATTTTTGTGGGTTTCAGGCATTATTCAGAATTGCTAAGGAAACACGGAAACATACACCATATGATCAAGTTCAATGCGGTCACTTGCCAATTGTGTGAGCAAAAACTTGATCGTACTATATTGAAAACTGCACAGCATCAAGTAAATACCTCTGTTTTTGTTGTGGTGTGACGGTTTTCAAGCACATGGAACAGCAACACTCAATAGTGACATCTGATACTGGTGTCCCTCACTGACACCGGATCATGACAATACTGAGCCCACTTCGTTTTTACATGTGAGAAAAGACTTGGCAAGATCAGCCTGTATAAACACGTTTGGTTTAAATACATATAGCTAAACTGGAAAGTGCTAAGAAGAAATAACAAACAGAAATTGTAGCCCATTGACATGAGTATCAAGATTTCATGAATATCATAAGCGCAATATAATGTCAACAATAAACCTGAGTCATTAAGAATGCAATATTATAAATTGTCCTTCTGGGTTTGGAAACTGAGTGTTATTAAATGTCATTTGAGACATAAAGCTTGTTTTATTACTCTGACCTGAAAAGACCACACCTTCTGATCAATGCACGTTTTGAAGTGGTTCCTGATCTACTGCAGTTCAAAAGCTGTGGAGAATTCGTAACTGTTTGTATGTAGTTCTCCAGAGAGCCACATTAGTAATGCTTGAGTGACTCTGTCTGTGTGTGTGTGTGTGTGTGTGTGTGTGTGTGTGTTTTGGGGGAGGGTCACCGCTGAAAGGTGTGGAGGTGGAGCTTGATGTTTAACTACTTGGTTTGTTTGAATTTCCTTAGCAACAATGATTGACACTTCAAAGCATGAGGGCCACTGTTCTATCCAAGACCATGAGATAAACGTTACAGCTGGAAAACCGCAGCATATTTATCAACATACCCATTGAAAACCATCTGTTTAATCAAGATCTCTACCTGCCAAGACAAGCAGCACTTTTCTTCCTCAAATACTACTATTCAAACGCTTTGGGTCAGCAAGATTTTTTTTAATAGAAATGTATACTTTTATTCAGCAAGGACACATTAAATTGTGACAGTGAAGACATTTATATTTATATAGCAAAAAATTATGTTCTTTCCACTTTCTATTTATCAAAGGATCCTAAAAAATTATTAGAGTTTATTAGAATTATTAGTATATTAAAATGATTTACAAAGGATCATGTGACTTTGCAACGCTACAGTGTCTCCAGTGGTGTAATGTAACGAAGTAATAATACTTTGTTACAGTACTTAAGTATTTTTTGGGAGTATCTGCACTTTACTTGAGTTTTTATATTTCTGCCAACTTTTACTTTTACTACTTTTACTTTCCTAATTAATTTTGGGAGTATCTGTACTTTACTTGAGTTTTTATATTTCAGCCAACTTTTACTTTTACTCCACTACATTTCCTAATTAAAATGTATACTTTTACTCCGATACATTTCCCCGAAGCATATTCGTTACCTACTACAAAATAGTCAGAAGTCAGAAGAACACGGACTGCAGGAAAGCAGGTTTGAAGAATCAGTGGTCTGGTTAGACTACTAAGACAATTGCGCGCACAACCGAGGAGGATTCATTTTCCACTCAAGTCGACTTAGTCGAGTCTGGTGCGTGCGATACACAGCATCGTCTGTGATAATATGGTAAGTGTTCTTGTAATGATGTGCGATCTGACATGATCAAGTAGGCGATATCACCAAATCACACACAGAGAGTGCACGCACGTTGATTTATTAATCTATTAAAACTAAAAATTCCAGGCATTCTAAATTGTAGACGGTAAAAACGCTTCTGTATGCTTTTTATATTTAATATAGTTAACTTAATCTATATCACACAAAGAGTACCGTTTTTCTGCAGATATCAGCATGAACACATTTAATAATCATTTTATACAAGTTCAGTAAAGCAATAAGTGACTTACATTTTAGACATAATATTGCTTGTTTTTGCTCAATTTTGCCAACGAATTTAGTTCCAAAGATCACCGCACTGTTTTGCGTCTCTGAGCAATGGACGGTGTTTACTTATTGAATGAATCAACTTTTTGAACGAATCGGTTGAAAATGATTCAGTGATTCAATCATTAACACGGTCAAATGCTTTGTTTCTGAATGAATCAGTCGTTTGAATGAATCGGTTGAATCTCAATGACTCACTCGTTAACAGTCACTTGCTGTCACCTACTGGCGGTTTTAATTTTACATTTCGACTATTTTTTTCATGTTTTTAATTATTTCAAATATCAGTATTCAACGTTTTATGTTAAAAACAAAACATTAGGCCTATTTATGCATCTGTAACGGCAGTTTAAATGCATCCATGTCCCCTCTGATATACATTAAACTGTGTAAATACATGTAAATGCTATTTCAGATGCAGATTCCACAAATGTTTTCTTATGTTGGAATGAAAGACACTAAGTACCGGATGAAGTGCAAAATGTGCAAAATGGAAGAAAGAGTTAAAACTAAACACAATCTTGCTACTCAAGCGGTGTATGAATATTTTTTATATATATTTATTTGCTTCTTTTCCATTTTGCATTTACTTGTACTTTTAATTTCAATACTTAAGTACGTTTAAGATAAAAAAAAATACTTTTCGTACTTAAGTACAATAAATATCACATACTTTAAGACTTCTACTCAAGTAATATTCTAAACGGTGACTTCAACTTCTACCAAAGTCATTTTCTGGTAAGATATCTGTACTTTTACTTGAGTATGGCTTTCAGGTACTTCATACACCACTGAGTATCTCACAACCAATCCGTACATATTTTACGAGGTGGCTGATTCATATGAATTCGTATGACCGCACTCGTACGATTTTATACTATTTGTCAAGACCCCAGTGAAGGGTAGGTTTAGGGGCGGGGTTAGGTGTAGGTCAATCGTACCAATTCACACGAATTGTGCAAATCGTAATACACCTACAATTTAGCAAAAATTGTATGAAGTCAGGTTGTACAAATTTGTACGAATTAGCCACTTTGTAAAATATGTACGAAATGCAATAAAATCGGTTTGGACACTTAAGATTGGAGTAACGATGCTGACAATTCAGCTTTGCATCACAGGAATAAATTACATTTTAAAATATATCCATATAGAAAACAGCTATTTTAAATTGTAATAATAATATCAAATTTTTCTGTATTTTTGATCAAATAAATGCAGCCTTCACCTTTAAAAATAAAGGTTCCAAAAGGGAGTTTTTGCAGAGATGCCATTAAAAAAACGATGTATGTATAAACTTTATTGTCAGACAAAGTTTGAAATTTGTCTTGCATCACAGCATGTTCTTTCACAATTTCTACCACACAGATCACCAGATTTTACCATCTCACATAACAAAATAAAAGATTGAGAGAAAGAAAAACATGATTCCTGACATTTTGATGCCTTATTCAATTCTAGGACAGCTTGATGCACAAAAGTGTATTTTAGTCTCATTTGATTCAATCTTGGGACTTGGGCGCCGATTAGATAAAAGTATAAAGTCATTATTCAGCACATGATTCGAGTCAGAAACAATGCTATTAGCCAGCCTTATAAGATAACTCATATACCTTTAAGAGGCTGCCCTCAATCTTTGAGCAAATTTTTATTTGTTTTTAACCTAACAGACAAACTCATGATCACAGACATGAAGAACAGTATTTTCAGCATCCAAAAGAACCTTTCAGCAAACAGTTCCTAAAAGAACAATGTTAAATAACATTTTAATAATCTAAAGACCCCTTTTCCACTATAAAGAACCTTTTGTGCAAAGGAAAGTTTCCACAAATATATTAAAGATTCTTCACGGAACCATAGCAGCCAATAAAGATACTTTATTTTTAATAATCTCTTTCAAAAACATTGAAAAATCTTACCGACCCCAAACATTTGAACGGTAATGTATAATGCACCAGTTCCAGCTTGTGGTTCACTCATGCTCCCTCCTGTAGGTACAGCTTTGCACTGCATGTGACATATGACTGTATGACGTAACTTTAAACTCGAAACACATTTAAACTACTGAAAGGCACCTTTAAAAGAAATTCTAAATTCACTGTCTGCTGCCAATCAAACTGCTAAATTTGCTCTTTAATTGGCTCAGAACTCACGCCACAGGTTTTTAATACATATGCATTTCTCCTCACATTTGAACAAACTCCTCGGATGACATCTTACCTCAGATCTTGAGAACTCCAAGCTGAGTCCAGCAGAGCTCAAAGATCCATTACTTCAGCATATTACGTGAATCAAACGAACCAAAAAGCACACCTGAATCTTCATGCATCTCCAGTGCATGGCAGGTTAGGTCACAGCGCTGATTACTGCAAGCTAAATGCGGCTTTGTGTTTGGCAGCAGATAAGAGCCGTGTGATGTCATGGGTGGGGGAGGACGAGGAGGCCGTGGCTCAGGTGTCTGTTTCCAAGAGCACTTGAGTAACCGAGGCCACTGCTGCTCGCTGTGCCGCCTGATGCCTGTCTGGTTAATGTTCTCCTACCTGATGCTCTCAAAACCTGCTGTTATTGCTGTATGGTCCTGCTGTTTTACTCCCTCAGGGAACGGTAACCCTATTTATGGGTCAACATTTACCTGTATTGCCTTACCGACATCACATTTTAATAACTGAAGGAGGAAACCCTGGCAAGAAACACTAAAAACAACAAACATAATTAATCAATAATAAAAATCGATTGGTCAGTCCACCAGAGATTGAGAAACTAAGTTTCAAGGAAAAGTTTTTGCATTAGTGGTTTGACGTTAAATTAAAGCAATTAATTTTCTCATGAGCCAATTAATTAAATAACTAAATAAACTTCCATCTAGAGGTAAGCCTAAGTTTCAGATATAGCTGGGTTAAACCGCCTTCTTTTTCAGATAAAAGATGAAAATAAAAATGAAACACAAAAGAAAAACCTGATTACACTTTTTACAAAACTTAAATTATGAATACAGTGGCTATAGTCATTTAATAAATAAACTAAATAACTTGACATTTACAGCTTAGATATTACTGTGCTTTTAAACAGCATTAAAAACTTTGTGTGAGATAATTTTAGGCTTTTATTGTGGATTTTAAAATCTCACAATTGTAGGTCCTAAAGATAGAAGTAAGAATAAAACACAAAGAAAAAAAAGTATTCGAAAATCAGCATGCTGCAATTTTCTGAATATATTTTTTTGTATGAAAACTCGCTGTGATTAAATACTAGGCTTTGTGCACCTGCTGACTTGACTTGAGTCCAATTTAATTTCCTTATTAAAAACTGATAAGCCAGTACACGTGGAAATATAAAACATGTTTTGTTGTTTGCCCTGTTAAAAGCACGTCCATAATAATACATGTCGGGTGAATCCAGAAAGTTAAACTAAACAAAAGCTGTCAAACATTCACACGACTTTATATTTCTCCAAGTATGCATGAAATAAACCACTTACCTCTTAACTAAACACGTCTACCGCCGTATTTTGCCTTTAGGACTCATCAGGAAGCAAATAAACTGGAAACAGGTCAGATGAAATCCACGTTTCATGATACTCTCTGAGGAAACATTAACCGTGATCTTTAACCAGTGGGAGGCAAACGCTGATGACCAAAAAACACTTTCCTATCAGTTTGTTTGCTTCTTCCAAGCGGTGGCCCAGAAATCCGAATCCACCATCGAGACGCATTGAAATCTTACGTCGTTTTTTTCCATTACTACAGACGTTTATACACTGAAAAGCATAATCATTTATATTTATTACTTATAAGGAATAGCACCTGATAGTCAAATAGAAATCCGCTCCAGTAATCTCTATAAAATTATCACACAAAACACTTTATTCTGTAATCACAATCGACTGTGATTGGTCCATCTCGATCAGCGATGAGAAAATTATCAGGAGGCATCGGTGCGTAGGTTTGGATAATAATTTACACCTGAGTTATGAGACTAGGAAACGTTGCTATGCAGTGAACTGAAAATACCCAGTAAATAAATCAAATGTAAAAAATAAGTATTTATAGGCCTACCAATCGTACCTTGACTAATCACAGACAAGCTCCTTGCCGTCTAAGCCACGCCCACCTGAATTCGTTCGTGAATAAAAGGAAACATCAGTTTGATGTGCGTCTCTACTAGAGACGTTTCAGGAGTTTGGATTCTAAATTAGGATCATGTTATTGATTATTTTGCCTTATGCACTCACAATATACTTTTTTGTTTGAGGATGTTAACAGCTGAATGTTTTCACTAGGATTTGTCATCAGCAGGTGTTTTATAGTTTGTTGTGCCGCCCCCTGGCGATAAATAAATAGACTGCACATCAAAAACTCATGATGATATCTAGACGTAAGAGCAATTCTCTTGCCAAGTTGAGGACAATTTAAGCCGTAAGTGGGAAACAGATGATCATTTTGACAAAACAAATAATGTTTGAAAGAATATGCTTCTAAATAGCCTATATATTCATTCTGTTAATGTGAATAAAGTGGCCCAGCATAGTGGTGTTCAAACTTGGGACCCCATAAGGGGCTTGTAGGGAGTCTGTGAAAAATATTAATTAATTCATTCATTTTAAGGCTGCCAAAGTTAAAGTGTGCCCTTAAGATATTATTAAAATACATTTATCGTAATTATTTTTTTGTTTACATTCACTAAATGTAATTATTTCATTCTCCTTTCTGCTCAGAAATCAATACATTAATTAATTTTCTTATTATTTGTTCTTTTAAAAATATTCTTCTATGTTTTTCTACTTTTCTTATAAAAAAAATCTTGACTTTTTTTTCTGTGAAAAATATGAATTAATCCCATGTACTTTTTGAACTTTTAATAGTTTTTTTAACAAGTTTAGTAAAATGACAATGTAAAAGCTAAATACTGTATGTTATATTTATTTTTGAAAACATTTTTTTACTTAGTTAATAATATTACATTTAAAAAAAATTGTTACACAGTATAAATTAATTTTCACACATTCAAATATACAGCTATCAACAGTGTCCCCAAAAGGCGATTATTATATCCAGGATCCTTAAAAGGTTTATCAAAACATATCCAAGATATCTTGCACTAAAACAATGAGAGTCTAGATGAAAAGTTTAGTGTGAAACGGTCGAAAAGTGCTTACGTCTGACACTATTAATCCTTTAAAAACAAATAACATTTCCAAAACATACTATTATTCAATTTCTATAGTGAGGCATTGCTTGTGTGCATTGTGAATGGAAGTTCAGGGGTCTCTGAATAATGAGCTCCATGATCCTCAATGAACTGTCTCCAGTGTGTTCAGAAAGCCCTGGCGACCCTTCTCTCCCCCCAGCAGAGTTCTGGTGTTAGATAAATAAGGAAACTCTTCTCTCTGTGTCACACTGAACTGCCCTTCAGCGCATTTGCAATAGCCAGAGTAGAGGGAAACGTGAAGTGAATTTCAATATCCCGTCTGCAGTCCGTCGCTCCCAGTCTGCCACCAAGCAAGAGAGATGGGAAACAAGCTTGACACAATGAAGTACATTGCCGGCTTTGTCCCGTCACAAAAGCTGTTTTGTACATTGAAGGACTTGCTGGAGGAGGAAAGTAGCGGTGGCAGGGTGGGCTGTCAGACTCGGCCAGCTTTGTCAAAGTTGATTCATGCAGTTGAGAAGTTTTATGGTTGTTAGTGATGTTGTTGTTGTGTTTTCCTCTTTATTATGCATTTAAGTATTGCTACTGTTGAAGATTTTAAAAGACCTTTATGGTAATAAATGATTCAAAGGTTTCAGCTAAACAAATTTAATGTAAGCTGTAGAATATAATTTTTAGGAAAAAGTGCAATTTTTTTCCCCATTCACTCACTAGTACTGATATCATTAACGATAGTGTAAGGAGGATATTGAACTTATTTTAATATTTCTTATTTTTGAGTCTGTTTTGTGTGTAAAGCAAAAATAAATGTTAAAGTAAAACATGTCTTATTGGAATTTGTTGTTGTTGTCATTTATTTCTGTTCAATATCAATATTTTGTGATATTCCTCTCTTTTGAAAATAATGCTTTGATGTTTCTGACATCATGTTTAAAGGTGTGTACATTATTTTTATTAATGAATTTATTCCAAATACACTACCGTTCAAATGTTTGGGGTTGGTCAAATCTTTAGAGTTTTTGAAGGACGTCTCTAATGCTAACCAAGGCATCTTTGCTCAAAAACATAAAAATAGTAATATTGTGAAATATTATTACAGTTTAAAATAACTCTTTTTTTTTATTATTTGAATATATTTTTTAAATTTCATTTATTTTAATAAAGGCTGAATGAATTTTCAGCATCATTACTCCCCAGGCTTCAGAAATCCTTCAGAAATCATTCTAATATGCTGATTTGCTGCTCAAGAAATGTTTCTTATTATTATCAGTGTTGAAAACTGTCGGGCTGTTTAATATTTTTAATTTTTTATTTATATTTAATATATTTTTTCATTGTAATATAAGTATTAAAAACGATAGGTTGTAAAATGCCAAATATTTAATAAAAAATAAGCTAATGTTCCATTCCTTAGTTGCTCCTGTCTTTCCACAAAGAAACACTAGACACCTCTTTCACTGTGGAGCAGATTTGAGGATGAAGTCAATTTTAAAAAGCTTAATTTCTCTGAAGAACAGATAGGCCTACAAAATAAAAATGTCAGTCAGTGTATTCTCAATGTAAGGTTTTAAAACCTTTACATAACTGCAATTATTTATCATTAAGCAAGCATTATCTAAAGAAATCAAGTAGCCTTGGGTTCATCACTTGAGGCTCGCATGTCTGTCAGTCAGGTGACGGGAACTGCGGTCACGCTCCAATCAGCTTCGACGGTTTTGATTGGGCCCGTTTGGTTGTGACGTTTTACAGTCTTTCCTTCACGCCTCCGTTCCCGTAATACAGTGGGATTACACTCGCAGACCTGGAAAACAAGCTCGACAGAGGAAGACTGACCGAGTATGACACCAACACAAACAGTCCTTCAATGGAAGATACTTTCCCTTACTTACATTACATTTACAGGCTGCTGATCCCAGTTAATTATTCAGAATCAGAAGAGCTTTATTACCAAGTATGTTTACACACAAAAGGAATTTGACTTTACTACAGGAGCTTCCAGTGCAGAACAAAGTACAGACATAGTGCAGACATACAGTACATAGGAATAACACAGTAGGGATGGAATATAACAGTAACATAAGAAAACTGAAATTAAATGTACTATATACAGAAATAGAAGTATAGGAAAAAAATGTAATTGTTTAGATAAATGTACAGATATGTTATAAGTGTGCAGATATGTTATTTACAAAGTGTGCAGATTACAA